ATTAGATGAGTTTTGCAGCAGTCTTGGGTAGTGGAGGTACTTGAAGTCCCATCTTCCATGGTCTGTCGTCCTCCAAACTGCTCCAGGATGTAGAGTGGGTCATTGAAGCTCCATGTGCCAAGTTTAGTCTTGATGAGTCATTGGCGAGGGTCTCAGTGGTCTCAGGAAGTGAGTGAAGTGACTGCAAGTCCCATCATCCATTGTCAAATTCTTCCAAACCGCACCATGATGTAGAGTGGGTCATGCTGGGTCTCTGTGTAAATTGTGTTCCTGATCCATCATTGTTGGCAGTTGTAATGGTCTTAGGAAGGGAGTGCAGGTATTGCAAGTCCCATCGTCCATGGTGCATCCTCCTTCAAACTGCACCTGGATGTAGAATGCGTCATGGAGACTCAGTGTGCCAAGTTTGGTATTTATTGGTAATTGGATGAGGGTTGCAGTGGTATGAAGAATTGAGCAATGGTACTGCAAGTCCCATAATCCACGGTCCATCCCCGGCCAAACCACACCAGGACGTAAAGTGGGTCATGAGAGGTCTATGTGCGAAGTTTGGTCCTGATCAGTCATTGGATAAGGTTAACAGCGGTCTCAGAATGTGAGTGGTGGTACTGCAAGTCCCATCATCCATGGTTCATCCTCCTCCAAACTGCAGTAGGATGTAGAGTGGGTGATGGGGGCTCTGTGTGCCTATTTCGGTCTGTATTGGTAGTGTTCTGACCCAGCCCCCGGCCTTTCCTTTCCTCTCTTTGTCATCTCGGAATGTTGGATTTGAGGCTGGCCAATCAGAGACCATATGCAAATTTCCTTCTGTCATGCCCCGTTTCTGCCATGAACCCTCTTCTCCACCAGGGGCTCCTATTGAAGCTGGCCAATCAGAGACCATATGCAAATAGCACCACAGCGGCAGCCAATCAGAACGCTGCCACATATTTATTTATTTATTTACTTCATTTGTTAACCGCCGCTCTCAGCCCTGGGGCGACATACACCTTCCGCCCTTCCTCTGTCCGATACAAACACTCTTCTTTATTATATATACAGATAATAACATTATGCTATGCCTTATTTTTATTTAGCAGGGATGGGCAACTCCTAAATGAGAATTGTGTTCCTGGAAGCTGCTAGGAGACCCATCTCTTCTTTTAAACAAGGCAAAACCATCCTTGCTCTACATTTTTGACAAAGAAAAGGGGTTTGGGGAAGAACCTAGAAGTGTGTGTCTGGGCATGTGGGGTGCAACTGGCAGAACAAGAGAAAAATGGTCTCAGTCTGGACCCACAGAGCTTGTTTTTCCTGATGTGCTCCCAAAGCGCTTTAAGCGTATTTTTCTGCAGTCCTTACTTGTGAATACTAGAGAATGGTGTATGAATGCTGCAGATGAGCATGAGGCTTGGCATTCCTCCTTTGCTAAAACATCTAAGGCCCAGCTTTCCAAGCCAGTGTTGTTTACTTGCTCTGTTGCATGTGGAATGGCAGAGCTTGTGTCTGAATAAAAAGGGCATGCACGTCTCCTCCTGTGGGTGTGTCAGAAGTGTTGACAGCAGCAGCATCCAAACCTGTTGAAAAGAGAGCAGCCCTGCAAGATTACTGTTTCACATCATGGCTGATATAGTGCAGATACTAAAGCTGCAGTGTCAATTGGGCAGGGATACCATTTATCAAAGGTGCAACTGACCTGTTCAATTGACTGGACCACACAGTGGGTCTTGGGAAGAATCCTGCAAAATGTTGCACTCCAGGCCAGGAAAGCCCTCTGACTTTAAACAGCTGAGTAAAAATGCAAGCAGTTTATTGAAGATAATTAAAAAGCAGTTGGTGTAAAAAACACTCCATAAAAATAGGTAAATCCAATTAGGTAAAAGGATAAGCAGAAACAAATAGTCTAGGAAATTAGTGCATCAGAGTTTGTGAAAAACAAATAAAGAAACTTCCAAGGTAACACTCCAGAAATCAAACAAGGCACTTAACACATGAATCTATCCAAGACAAGGCTTCCAAGGACCAGTAAAGACATCTTGAATCAATTCGAACTATATTTCATCTGACTATAGATTCTATACTTGGCACTTTTATCTTCCAATCTACTCTATTTCCCAAGCGAACCAGGAACGGTTTTTGTTTCAGCCTTGACTCTATTATCAATCTCTCTCTCAGTCTGGCAGAATGTCTGAGAGATTGGTTTGTTTGCCTGTGCTGACGGAAAATATGCCTTCTACCTACTGGTATCCTTGAAGTGACTGGATTGACCTTGAAGGAGCTGGGTGTGGTGACGACCGACAGGGAGCTCTGGCGTAGACTGGTCCATGAAGTCACAAAGAGTCGGAAACGACTGAACGAATGAACAACAAATCTACTGGCTCATTAATTTCTGCATCTGGCACAGATGCCAAGCTCTTCTCAGGCTCAAAGTCCTGGAAATTCTCTGGTAGAAATTCAGGCCCTCTTCCAGAGACCATACCATCATCCCCAAACCCTTCGGGAACATTCTCATCAGAAAAGACACTTTGAACAGGAATCCCATTGTCATTCTCTGCATCTAAAGCAACCTCATCATTATACACATAATTAGATATACGAACCTCAGAAACATCATTGTCATTACCAACATCCAGAATACCCTGATCATTAGACACAATCACAGGCTGAACTCTAACACAAAAATCCAAGGCGCTCCTACTTCCAAGCATTTCGAAGAAGGGATACTCAACTTGAATTCCTATGTTCCACATTCTGAGTCCCTGTGATCAAAGTATGTCCACATAAGCTCCACAACAATTTCAACCAATTAAAATGGTTGATTTTGTATAATTTTGGTGACTCCAGCATCTGTGCTTGCCAATAAGGAACTGACCTTCTATGCATACAAAATTACCTTTTACATTACCACAAGCCATGCACAGATGTGTCTAAGTTAACAAAGTAGATATGATCCAGGGAATTATTTGTTCCACAGAAATTCTGGTACCAGAAGCAGAAATAACATGGAAAAAATAGAGATAATTTCCTAAAGTACGCCCCTAAAGTCCAGTTTAACATTTCATGTCCTTTCTTCCTAGCAAGAGATACATGCCATGGAGATTCCCCATCTAAACCCTTCATTTTGGCTGCTGCCAAAAAGAAACCAGTTTTATAATATAGGGAAATCAATACAAGAAATTTCGGGGAACAGGAGGACTGTGTAAAAAGAGAAATACATTCATGAAATATAGGAGAGAAAATGAATGTGGTGGAAAATGTGCTATTTCGCCACATGCTGAAGATATTAGCCAGCATTTAAATAGGACAGAACTTTAAGGTCATCACAGCATTTGAAAAAGGGTGCTGACAGGCGGCATAAGCAAACGTTTATCTCTTCCATCAGATCGTAAGCCAATGTGTTCTTAGGGAACTGCGAAGAGAGAACTTCTGGAATTCCTTAAATGCTGTTGTGCACTCCACATTTGAAACACGATCGCAACTGAAATCTAAATGGGATGTGTATCAAATAATCCTTCCTTAAATTGTGTGTTTCCTTCCAAATCAAATGCCACATTTTAGATTCCGGTAACTAAGCGAAGGAATTCTATATCAAAATGTTCAGCTTAGCAGGAGTTTTGAATTTGTGTGAACCATCATTATCCTATATTTTGCCTTTTCAGTACAGTACAGTAATAGCAATATGCTCTGGGTATTTTTTTTAAAGCAAAGTTAATGGAGAGAAAGAAACTAGGAGAGGATACTTTTGTAGGCTGGAGATAACTAATAATTTTTGTCTCAAAATAAAATTGTCTCAAAGTAGAACTGGGATCATTTGACTGTAATGTCACACCAGGACTGTGGCACAGCTGGCTGGGAGTCAGCTGCATTAAGATCAATAATAATAATAATAATAATAATAATAATAATAATAATAATAATAACAACAACAACTTTATTTTTATACCCCGCCAACCATCTCCTTTAGGGGACTTGGGATGGCTTACAAGACACAAGCCCAAAAATTACAATTAAAACACACAAGTAAAACACTTACTAATTAAAAACATCAGATAAAACAATACAGACAATTATAGCCAACATAAGAGCAATATGGCTGAGAAAAGATTCAATGAGTACAATACTTTTTACAGGAAAGGTCATGAGCTTGAAGCCAGATTGAGCTTTCAACCCATTTGTGTAGCTTGCTGTCGAACTTTGCAGCCCGAAAGAGAGTTGCATCTGTCAAGTAGGAAATTTAGGTACCAGTTATGTGGGGAGGCTAACTGACAATGCCATAAAAATCTCTAGCAAGCATGCAAAGAATGAGGAAGTACTTTGTCAGTGTCACAAATGGACGGGAAAGCGACAGCTCCCCTGGTGGCCAGAATACCCTCATGAAAAAGCTGGAATGTTATAGCCTCTGTGTCTCTGTCTATATATGTTGTGTGTCTATGGCATTGAATGTTTGCCATGTATATGTACATTGTAATCCGCCCTGAGTCCCCTGCAGGGTGAGAAGGGTGGGATATAAATACTGTAAATAATAATAATAATATCCAAAACTTATTTTTTGAAGATTCACTCAAGAGCTTTACACATCTGATCTGACTCTTTCAGGTTGAATCTACACTGTCATATAATCCAGTATCTGATCCCAGATTCTCTGCGTTGAACTGAATTAAATAAGTCTACACTGCCATATATTCCAGTTCAAAGCAGATAATCTGGAATCAGAACCTGGATTGAGCTCTTAGGTGGACTGGGAAATATTGTGCAGGTGGTAGCATACTCTCATCTCTTAATTGAAGTTAACATCTTGACAACTGCATCCTGCAACAACTGCATTTAATAGTAATCAATATTTTCTGATTGATATCAAATGTAGATCTACACCTAGAGGTGCCCAGGTCATATATTATCATAGCCAGTTCCAACTTCTCAAACAAAAGTGTACAGTTGTTTAACTTGTTGCATTTAGTACCATGGATTTATTGGTATTTCTGACACTAATCTTAATGTTTGTCTTCTTCCCCAACTCATAGGTGTTGTTCGTCAAGTGAAACCCATCATTGGCCCTTTCTATGCCACCTTGAAACTCGAGATGAACTACGTTGTTGGAGGGGTTGTCTCTCACCGTAATATTGTCAATGTGCACATCTTTGTTTCCGAATACTGGTTCTGATTGGCCTTGCTGTTTTGATGGAAGCAGGAGATCTCCAAAGAGAGACTCCAACACAAACTCCTAGAATGGTATACATCTTTTTGAGGTAGGGTGAGGTGGGCAAGTAAAAATGGAATATCTTTCTTTTCAAAGAACATATCTGGTTCATTGTTTATTTAAAGGAGAAATAGCAAACTATTTAAAATAGATGTAAGATAGAACAATATCCTATAGTTCACTTGTGTCGTACTCTGTATATAAAACAAATAGTGTGTCTGGGTTTTTGTAGGTTTTTTCAGGCCGGGTTCTAGAAGCATTCTCTCCTGACGTTTTGCTTGCATCTATGGCAAGTTGGAGTTCTATAGAACTCTAGTATGCTGATGACAATGTCATCTGTGCGCATTCAGAGGAAGACCTACAAGCCACTCTAAACACCTTTGCAGAAGCATACGAGAAGCTCAGCCTGTCATTGAACACTGAGAAAACCAAAGTCCTCTTCCAGCAGTTACCAGCCAATCCCTCTCCAATGCCAGAGATACAGCTTAATGGTGTAACATTAGAAAATGTCGACCATTTCTGCTACCTTGGCAGCCACCTCTCTGCCAAAGTCAACATAGACACCGAAATACAATACCGCCTGAGCTCTGCGAGTGCAGCTTTATTCAGAATGAAGCAGAGAATGTTTGAGGACCGGGACACCCGTAGTGATACCAAGGTGCTTGTTTATAAAGCTATTGTCCTCCCAACCCTACTATATGCCTGCGAAACGTGGACTGTCTACAGACGTCACATGCAACTCCTGGAACGATTCCATCAGCGCTGCCTCCAGAAAATCCTGCAAATCTCTTGGGAAGACAAGCGGACAAATGTCAGCGTGCTGGAAGAAGCAAAGACCACCATCACTGAAGCGATGGTCCTCCGCCATCAACTCCGCTGGACCGGCCACATTGTCCGGATGCCCGCCCACCATCTCCCAAAGCAGTTGCTCTACTCTGAACTCAAAAATGGAAAACGGAATATTGGCGGGCAGGAAAAGAGATTTAAAGACGGGTTCAAAGCCAACCTTAAAAACTCTGGCATAGACACTGAGAACTGGGAAGCCCTGGCCCTTGAGCGCTCCAGTTGGAAGTCAGCTGTGACCAGCAGTGTGGCAGAATTTGAAGAGGCATAAATGGAGAGCAAAAGAGAGAAACGTGCCAAGAGGAAGGTACGTCAAGCCAACCCCGACTGGGACCGGCTTCCACCTAGAAACCAATGCCCTCACTGCGGGAGAAGATGCAGATCAAGAATAGGGCTCCGTAGTCACCTATGGACCCACCCTGGAAGATTATCCTACTTGGACAACGAGGGATCACCTAAGAAGAAGAAGATGGCAAGCATCCGCAGAAGTTGTGAGGTCTTGCCATAGATGCAGGTGAAACGTCAGGAGAGAATGGCTCTAGAACATGGCCATACAGCCTGAAAAAACCTACAACAACCCAGTGAATCCAGCCATGAAAGCCTTCGACAATAAATAGTGGGTTTGACTGCCCCTCATCTCCTGCCTTGCTCGTTGTTTTTTTACTGATCCATGAAACAAGATTTTACATGCAAGATTTTGCAGGATCAGAACCTTGCCTGCTGCCATCCTTGCCACCTTCATTGTCTCAAAATAGGTGGTCTGTCTATGAATTTTCCATAATGAAAACAATAAAGCCACAAGGGACATAATCCAGTTGATATTTACAAGCATATAACCTGCCCACCCCCCTTATATTGATCTATATAAATAAAAATGTAATGTTCGTTTGTGGGATTAACATAACTCAAAAACCACTGGACAAATTGACACCAAATTTGGACACAATACACCTAACAACCCAATTATGCCCTTCACACAAAAATTTTGATTTTGTAATTTGGGAGTTGTATTTGCTGGGATTTATAGTACACTCACAATCAAAGAGCATTCTGAACTCCACCAATGATGGAATTGAACCAAACGTGGCATACAGGACTCCCATGATCAACAGAAAACACCAGAAGGGTTTGGTGAGCATTGAATTTGGGAGTTGTAGTTCACCTATATCCAGAGAGCACTGTGGACTCAAACAATGATGGATCTGGACCAAACTTGACACGAATATTCCATATACCCAATTATGAACACAGATGGAGTTTGGGGGAAATAGACCTTGACATTTGGGAGTTGTAGTTACTGGGATTTATAGTTCACCTACAATCAAAGAGTAATTTCTTTACTCTTTGTAAAGAAATTACCAACAAGAGAATTGGGGCAAACTTCCCACACAGAACCCCCATGACCAACAGAAAATACACATGGCCATGCAGTCCAACTCCCTTCACCAGGGCAAGAAAATGTAATCAAAGCCGTCCTGACAAAGACCCATCCAGCCATAAATATAGATAGATATGATTCACACACAGAGAGAGATAGCATCATAGATTTGAAAGGGACCCCTAAAAAAGGACAATATGTTGCATGTTCCAGAGTAGGCAAACCAGACAATCTCCTCATCAACACTGAGAAAGGAACAACAAGAAATACTATTTACCCACAAGCATAAAGTAATTACATATATTAGAAACCAGCACTTTCTCATTACTTTATTTTCCAGATCACCAGACTGGGCCACAGCAACGCGTGGCAGGGGACAGCTAGTACTCAATATATTCTCTTATAGCAGTGTTTCTCAACCTGGGGGTCAGGACCCCTGGGAGGGGTCGCCAGGGGGTTTCAGAGGGGTCACCAAACACCATCAGAAAACCAATTTCTGATGGTGTTAGAAATCCCTTTGGCATACTCATTTGGGTTCACAGTGCTCTGTGGATGTAGGTGAACTACATTTCCCCTAAATCACTGTCAATTCATCCCAAATCCCTCCAGTATTTTCTGTTGATCATGGGGGTCTCTGTGTGGGAAGTTTGGCCCAATTCTATCATTGGTGGGGTTCAGAATACTCTTTGATTGTAGGTAAGCTATAAATCCCAGCAACTGCAACTCCTAAAAGTCAAGGTCTATTTTGCCCAAGCTCCATCAGTGTTCACATTTGGGCATATTGAGTATTCATGTCAAGTTTGGTCCATATCCATCATTGTTTGAGTCCACAGAGCTCTCTGGATGTAAGTGAACTACAACTCCAAAACTCAAGGGCATTTTCCATCAAAGCCTTCCACTATTTTCTGTTGGTAGTGGGAGTTCTGTGTGTCAAGTTTGGTTCAACTCCATTGTTCATGGAGTTCAGAATGCTCTTTTAATTGTAGGTGAACTATAAATCCCAGCAACTACAACTCCCAAATGACAAAATCATTGTTACACACACACACCCAACCCCACCAGTATTCAAATTTGGGCATATCAGGTATTTATGCCAAATTTGGTCCAATGAATGACAATACATTCTGTGTATCAGATATTTACATTACAATTCATAGCAGTAACACAATTACAGTTATGAAAGTAGCAAGGAAAATAATTTTATGGTTGGGGGCCACCACAACATAAGAAACTGTATTAAGGGGTCGCAGCATAAAGAAAGTTGAGAACCACTGTCTTATAGGGTTGGGCAGTGCACTTTCAAAACCCTTCATCCCTCCCTCTTTCTCCCTTTCTCTGAATTAGAGTTTAATTAAAAGGGCACCAAGGTCAGCAGAACATCAGTTAACATGATAATAGAAGACTGGATATAATGGCGCAGATCCTACAGGTGCCTACAACTGCCATAGATCCATTGAGTCAATGGGATTTACCTAAGCACTGAGCTACTATTTAGTGACTGTTTCCAATGGGCTATTCTAGATAGGATTACCAACAGGATTTAGGCCAGTGTGTCCAAGATATTGAAGCACCCAATGACCCTGAGATAGGGAGGTTCACCCAAGGATTCAGTTCACTGACCTGAATCCAGAGTTGAATGGCTGTTTCCAATGGAGTTTTAAGCTTACTCCAAGCAGCATCCCCTCATGTTGTGTAGCAAACGGATTTTTAAAACAGTAGGAAGGCATAGGAGTCTGTTGTTCACGAGGCATTTTGAAGCCTTTGAACACACTTCCTTAAAGGTCTAAATCCTGAGATTTTAGAATTAAAGCGACAGGCATGCATGGATTGGGAACATTGTCCATAAGTTCCATCAGAATTACAAACTCAGGGTATTTTTGGCATGGTTGGTGTAATGCTGAGTCCCTCTACGGAGGTGAGACAATCGGGATATAAAAGTTTTAAATAATAATAATAATAATAATAATAATAATAATAATAATATTTACAAGTAAAAAGTGCAGCTGCCTGTATAGTGTACCAAGAGGCTTACATTCCAAAAACCATTTCCACACAAACATAACATACTCCTTTCTGTGGGCATTTTGAATTATCTTGTTATATTAACCTTGTCATTTTTGAGAAACTGTAGGTGGTACATTGGTAATGCCCAGAGCATATGGATACATCATTTTCTTTCACTACATGTTTTGTAGGTTTATGAAAACTTATCCAACCTATAAGTAGAGTTCGTGGTGGATGTCATATGTGTACCACAGTAAATTATATATGTGTCACAACACCTTCAAGCACCTTCCAGCTCTAGCCTTGAGTTGATCATAGATAGAGAAGAGAAATCTGTTTGTCGGACTGAGTTACGAAACCTCATTAACGTTGGGTTGTTGTAGGTTTTTTCGGGCTATATGGCCATGGTCTAGAGGCATTCTCTCCTGACGTTTCACCTGCATCTATGGCAAGCATCCTCAGAGGTAGTGAGGTCTGTTGGAACTAGGAAAAAGGGTTTATATTAGGCTTGGGCAATCCATGGTTCTAAATGGTTCTAAAGTACTTACAAAACTAAAGTTCTGGTGGTGAAAATTTCAGAACTCTAACAAAACTCTCAAAATTTCATAATAAATGGCAGTTCCTAATTGGTTCTGTCATTAAAATCACCAATAATGAAATAATAATTAAATTTTGAAAGTTTTGTTAGAGTTCTAAAATTTTAACCACCAGAACTTTAGTTTTAAGTACTTTAGAACCATTTAGAACCATGGATTGCCCAAGCCTAGTTTATATATCTGTGGAATGACCACGGTGGGACAAAGGACTCTTGTCTGCTGGAGGTAGGTGTGAATGTTTCAACTGACCACCTTGATTAGCATACAGTGGCCTGACAGTGCCTAGAGCAAACTTTTGTTGAGAGGTGATCAGATGTCCTTGTTTGTTTCCTCTCTGTTGTTGTGCTGTTGTAATTTTAGAGTTTTTTAATACTGGTAGCCAGATTTTGTTCATTTTCATGGTTTCCTCCTTTCTGTTGAAATTGTCCACATGCTTGTGGATTTCAATGGCTTCTCTGTGTAGTCTGACATGGTGGTTGTGAGAGTGGTCCAGCATTTCTGTGTTCTCAAATAAAATGCTGTGTCCCGGTTGGTTCATCAGGTGCTCTGCTATGGCTGACTTCTCTGGTTGAAGTAGTCTGCAGTGCCTTTCATGTTCCTTGATTTGTGTTTGGGCAATGCTGCGTGTGGTGGTCCCTATGTAGACTTGTCCACAGCTGCATGGTACACGGTAGACTCCTGCAGAAGCGAGAGGATCCCCTTTTGCTAACGAAGCATTTGTTGGATTTTCTTGGTGGGTCTGTAGATAGTTTGCATGTTGTGCTTCCTCATCAGCTTCCCTATGCGGTTAGTGCTTCCCTTGATGTATGGCAGGAACACTTGTCAGGAGAGGATGCCTCTAGACCATGGCCATATAGCCCGAAAAAACCTACAACAACACAGTGATTCCGGCCATGAAAGCCTTCAACAACGCATTAACGTTGTCATATTCTATTTTTATGCTTAGTACATTGTATTGTAAAATGGTGGTACAGAATCCAACTGTGTATAGGACTATACTGCAAATTGTCATGTCTTTCTGTCCCCAAATAAAGCTGGGATTTGAATTTCAGCAAGTTGTTCAGAGAACACCCTTTTACAGAACTGCAGTTACGAGTGTTCTGGGAGGAAAAGCATCAGAACAATTGTGCTCAAGGCTATGTATAGCAAACAAAGATGTACGCCAATAATGTAATAAAGCCACCTGTTGTATGTATTTACAGTTTGTCATGATAATGTATCTTACAAATGCAAAAATAAACTTTCATTTATAATTTCTTTTTTAAATCAATGTTCATTCAGCCTATAACCGTGCTTGTAATAACCAGACAACAGTTGCAATACATAACCATCCAATTACTGAACAATATGTTTTGAGTGGGGTGGGGTGGGGTGGGGGGTGATATAAAAGGAAAGACAAAACTATAAACCAGAAGTAAGTGTGGTTGGACTTCTTAGAATTGCTTCCTATCAAGTGACGGGTAAGACAAGTGTATCAGGTAAGAGTATATTTCTTGTTTCAGAAAAACATCTCTGTTTTATTGACTATTCTAAAGCCTTTGACTGTGTGGATCATAATCAATTGTGGCAAGTTCTTGGTGGTATGGGCATACCAAATCATCTTATCTCTCACCTGAGGAATCTGTATAAGGACCAAGTAGCAACAGTAAGAACTGACCATGGAACAACAGAATGGTTCAAGATTGGGAAAGGCGTACGGCAGGGTTGTATACTCTCCTCCAACCTATGCAACTTGTATGCAGAAACACATCATGCGATGTGCGGGGCTTGATGAATGCAAGGCTGGGGTGAAAATTGCTGGAAGAAATATTAACAACCTTAGATATACAGATGACACCACTTTGATGGCCGAAAGTGTCGAGGAGCTGAGGA